GGGTTTGCCCTGCCTGCATCTGTCTTTCACGATCACTTGCTGGGGCCTGGCGAGCCGCTGCGTTCCTTGTGTTCTTTCCAACAACAACACCTGTCCTTGCGCCGATGTCACAACGGTGCGGCATCACCCTCCTCGGAGCGCTGCGACAGCGCCAGTGCGTGCACGCCCCCTCACTTTGCATTCCCAGCGCGCGGGCGTTTGGGCAAAAAAAACGCGCCTTTTGCGGTGTGCGTACCTGGGTGCCGTTTTGAACTGCAGCCGGCCCCCTGTCGGCTGACTCCATCCTTGACCAAGCGGCAGCAGAGTGGGGCTTTGAACCGCACCCTGCTTACTGGCGCATCTACGCGCCGGCATTGGGGTTCCTTTCACTTGGCAAACAGGGGCTGTGGGCGGTGGGTTGCTGCGATGCACATGCACGCCTTGCTGGCGCGGCGGTGGGGGCCAGGGTGTCCCGACGCGCCGCGCCGCGGGTGCGCACTGCACTGTAGCGAGGGATGGGGATCAACAACAGCAAGAGTGTGAGGCCGCTGGCAGCGTGCATTGGGAGAGCTACCCAGCGAGGCAGCAGGGGATGTTATTCCTAGGCTTGCAGTGTGCCACCACAGCTGTGCGGAGGGCCGAGGAGCCGCTCCTACAAGCCTTGCTGACGTGCAGCAATGGGCCCATCCTTTGTGGGGGCCGCTGCTTCAGACAGCCGCATTTTGTGTGCAACCAAGGGTGGTTTCTGGCACGTGCACCGGCCTAAGTAAGGGCCAGAAGCTTTGATCAAGCCTGGGATTGGTAGGCTGTGCGATTTTCTCAGGGTGAGCCTGACGGCGCTTGGCCAAGTCTCAACGCTTGGGGCCGCACTTTGCGACCCATGTGTGCGCACACACACATCACACACATACACACACACACACACACACACACAACACAGCACACAGTCGCTGCACATTCAGTGACTGAATAAAACGTGGGTCAATGACACTCGTACTTGACAACAACAGCATGATGACTTGAGAATATACATGCCCCTTCCTGTGTATTGTAACCTGTGACACCTCCAGAGCTTTCGGTCGGCGGCCGAGTTTGGATGTTACAGGGGGCGGCGGGGGGTTGGAGGGAAACAAGTCAAACGCAACAGGAGTGCTGAATCAAGACAAACAATGGTTAAAACACCGCCGGCACAATTTTGCAGGGTTTCAAGCATCTTGGCGCCGCCTGGTCAGGGCAGGGACGACACCAGCAGCACGCCAGCGGCCCACGAGACGATGGCCGCTGCACGCGCGGCCCCGATGAAGCGCGCACCATTGAGGGCCGCACCTGGCGCCTGGCTCGGCGCTGTGGCGGCAGGGGCCCCAGAGGCGCCGGGCACCGCCCCCACGTCATCGCTGTAAGACAGCGTCCTGGCCGACGCCTCTGCCGCCTTGTGCCCCGCCGGCTTGGGAGCGTCCGGGTCACTGGGGCGGACGCGGGGCGGGTTGCACACAAGGTCAGTGTGCAGCATTGCATTGTTCCCATGGATAGCTTGCCCTCCCACAGGCTGCTGTACGGCTGCTGGACGCAGCCCCTCTGTGGGCGCAGGCAACACACTTGCTCACCTCCACTAAATACATTCATGCGCAAGGACACATAGGTTGGCTCACGCACGCATGCATGCACGCACAAGCAGCTCACACACGCACGCACGCACACGTCAAAGCGAGCATACCAGCGGGTGTGCTCACCCTGCGCCGCATCTGAGCGCTTCCGCCACCCCGCCGTCACGCAGCATCCCGAACACGTGGCCGCCCAGAAAGTCGTAGCCCTCCGCTGTCAGGTGCAGCTCGTCATCTTGATACCGCCGCCGCTGCTCTTCCGGCTGCTCCCAGAAGTTGAAGGGGCCCTCTGCCGCGTCATCAAGAAGCAGGCGCGGCCAGCTGTCGGCGTTGGATTTTGAATGGGCGTCGACGTACTGCTTGAGCATGGCCAGGAGCTTCAGGCGCTGCGCCTCGTTGTCGCTGCTACGTGCCACGAAGCGGTTTGCCCTGGTTCAAGAGACGGCACAACAGCGCGCAAGTGATCACAGGTGGGGGGGAGCAGCTGAATGAACAGGAGCACTAACAGCACGATTGTGCAATGACGGTTTTCACACAACGACTGTCTGTAGAAATCAGGCCTAAACATCCCCCAGATTTTGCCCAGGCAAGCAAGCACATGGTCCACAAGGTACCAGCCGCGCACCAGGGAGATTACACAACAACAGTCATGATGGCAGCTCCAACCGCCTGCATCAGCACTGCTTGCAACGCCCCCAAACCGCGGCCGCCGTGCTATTGCCACCTACCGCCGAGGGCGTCGATCCCACCCATGACTTACTGCATCAAGGTCACTTGCTGCTGCTCTGCTGCTGCTGCTGCTGCTGCTGCTGCTGCTGCTGCTGCTGCTGCTGCTGCTGCTGTGTCGTGCTTTGGCAAACAGCGTGCCGACCACGACCGTTTGGTCAGACTGGTCAACCCCTCGAGGGAGCAAGCCCCAACCATTTGCTCCTGTGAATCAAGAAGCAGTATGCGAGGGCAGTGTTTGAGGATGCAAGTGGGACGCCTCAGTGTTTGCTTGGTTGATGCCTTCAAATATGGGTTGTTTTCAATCAGCTGGTGGTGGGCGATTGGCACGGCAGCCCCGACCCGTCACAGTTGGGGTGCTGATGCCCCAGCCCCAGCCGTGGCACGCAGCAAGCAGCATCCTGCGCCGCTGACACCGCAACTCACACTGAAGCCTGGAACCATATGCTCCGCTCTGTGCATCAGGTGACAAGTCAACATCTGAACGGTCAAGGTCGCACCTGTCGGGGTGATGTCCACATGGCGCCGTAGCTCGGACTAGAACAGTCGCGAAAGCCTGACTGTACAGGGGTGGTGCTGGTTTGAGGACTGCACCGCGCCGTTGGCGAGGCTGTACCCGACTGCCGGTGAACGCACGGATGGGAGGGCCTCACTGCATTTGCACACCGCTGCAGCGCCAGCGGGGCTGGCAGCAACGCCAGTCGCAGGCGGCGAGGTGCACTGTGCCCACGAGCAATGCTGCGAGCTGATGAACGGCACACATGGCTGGTGTCTTGGTCATCACTACGGTACTGATGCATTGACATCGTATTCTGCAAGTTGAGTACCGTAGTGGCTGCTAGTCAGAGCTCTGGATCGCAAAATGCCTGCCAGCAAGACAGGATCTGGTTACATGTCGCACTGGTACTTCAACATATAACAATTGCAAGGTCGCTGCAACCGTACAACCCCACATACGCATGCACGAGACACGGGTGACTGCGGTGACTGGACGACGCTGCAACCTCCATATTGCACCACTCTTTTGTATGAGACAATGAAAAGCTGTCTTATGTATCAGCTTTCAGTGTTGCACATGGGCGTCTTTGGCAGCGATCTTGATGTCGTTCCTTTGTGTCGGCAAACCTGTCCAACGTATGTCAACAGTAGCAGCAGAGCCTGTTGGAGTGGGATTAATTGTCTTTGTGTCCGCCCTGTAACAGGAAGCACGCCACTGTTGCGGCTGGGCGCTGCGAGAGCATTCAGTCTGCATCGGGTGGCCAACCGCTGCCTTGCGACAAGCCAGTGATGGCAGTGTGGTCGACCTGCAACCCAGGGTCCAGCCCGGTCCGCCGAGGCGTAAAACACATCTGCGTCGCCAAGCGTCCGTCCAAGGACGACTCCGTGCGCATTGCCAGGGCGCTGGCGTGCGAGTGCTTCAATGATGAGGCGGCCCCACAGCTATCGCAGGGGCACAACGGCCACTTCATCACTGCCTTGGGACACCAGGTAGGTTATTTTTAGGGCATATGAGGAGCAAAGAAGTGCGCGCCTGGTTTGAGCTTTGGGACGTGAGTGTCTGGAGGAGGGGTGGGCGGGCTGCTCAGAACCCAGGGCAGGCTGCTCTGGCAAACTGGTTAGGGTGTCGAACCAGTAGATGCGTGCGTGCACTCCTGCGCGCACGTGTGTGCGCGCGCGCGCGTGCGTGCGTGCGTGCGTGCGTGCGTGCGTGCGCACGTGCACGTGCGCGCGCGTTTGTGCATTTGTGTATGCGTGTGTGTGCGTGCGTGCGCGTGTGCGCACGAGTGCGCGTGTGTGCGTTGGTCCTACTCCCAGACCCTGCTGGTTTGTAAATGACCGCAATGGTCGCGCGCCCCACCAAGCCGACAAGTGACAACAGAGCAGCGGCCACCACTGCAAACATCATGTGTTTTGAACATCCCTCAAATGGCCTCGTGTGTCCATATCTGCAAGCGTAACCTCACATTCGCCGTCCTTCTGCTGGATAAAACTCCCTTGCCGTCATCAAGCCACCGACGTCAATGCCCCCTCCTCCCCCCCCCAACAAGCCCATAAACCTCACCACCCTGCCTCCCAAAACTCCCCACTCCTCCCTGCAGGCCATCCTGGGTGCGTGTCGCGGGCCAGGTCATCGACGCGGTCAAGACGGGCAAGCTGGAGCACGTCTTCCTCATTGTGAGGCCACTCATCATTGCAGCTGTGAACTAGTCAGATAGTTTGAAAAAACCAGCCCCAGCAAAGAGGGCTCACACACAGGTTGTATCATCCTTGCCTCGTGCACTTGCCCGATTTTTGAAGCAGGAACCCTAGGTGCAGGCTTGCCTTGCCTCGTCCCATCTGCACCAGCAGCCAGCGTGACGCCACGCCCGGGGTGAGATTTGTCGGCCTGTTGCATGGAAACCCAGCCTCCTCCCTCAGGGCGGCTATGAGACGAACCGCTTCCACTACAGCCAGTTGCGGGCCCCATGGTAAGGCCAGACACAGAAAAAAGAGTGGGCGCTCCGGATGGGCTGTGCAACAGGCAGGGGCGCGCCCAAGACCGCAGTCTGCAGGTGGGAGGCTGGTTGCCAAGCATGTGTGTATTACGCATGGCAATTGGTTGAGTGCGAGGTCCATCCAAGCGCCTCACCACCTGAACGCACCAACACATGCATCGCTGCTGCGACCCAAAACCCCGGCCCACCCAGCATCGCCACCCCTGCTTCTCCCCCCTTGTGTGCAGCTGGGCAAGGCCCTGCCGAGCTGCACCGTGATCCTCACCCTCGGCTGGTGCGTCTCGACTCGGAGATGGGTAGCACCATGACACCGCCACAGCGTGCCCATTGTGCGCCGGCGCCGTCTTTCGCCTCTGATCGTTTCATTGTCACTCAAGCTTCTTGTGCCAGTGGGGGGGGACACCATTTGGCACGCTGCCCACCCCCCTTTGGCTGTCTTGCAATCCCCGCCCTCTGGCTCACCCAGTGCCAAGTACCGCATCAACCACCTGGACTTTACTTGGCAACCTGCTGGGCACCGGCCTGCCGCGCCTGCTGGACATGGGCCAAGTGTGTGTTTGTGTGCGTGTGTGCATACGGATGTGGTTGTGCAGGGAAAGGGAACAGACCAACACGGAAAGGTTGCGCAGACTTGGTCCAAGGCCCCTTATGAGTAAACTGTCCATTCCTGGCGAGCGCAAGCCGCCCATCTGACACTACATGAGGGCCCGGCCCACCCAGCCGCCCATCCACCCCCCACTCCGCGGTCATCTGGCGCCCATCCGCAGTGCAACGACGCGTACGGCGCCGTCATGGTGGCCTCTGAGCTGGCCAAGGCCTTCAACTGCTCAGTTAACGACCTGCCGCTGTCCCTGGGCGCGTTGATGGCGGTGACCTGGTGGGGTGCGCCGCAGGGCTTGTTGCATTTGCCTCTGTCCGCTGGTGGGAGGTGCTGACTTGCGGCCCCGCTGCATTGACTTCACGGCATGCTTTGGAAATTGAACTAACATCTATGGCATACATGCCAGCTTGTCCCAAACGTGTGCCATCGTGCGGCCCCCTCTCACGCGCACACCAGACCTGTCCTGGTTAGAGCAGAAGGCTGTCGCAGCGCTGCTCACGCTGCTGCACCTGGGCGTAACATCAGATGCGGGTCAACATGCCGCAAAGCACCATCGTCGCGCCTGCAGGAGCGCTGCGCACCCTCCCGCGTGGGGCGGGAAGGCTGTTTTGAGGCAGCAGCAGAAGTACTATAGATGTATCTGTCCTCGTCATACCGCAACTTGTTGCACCCTTAATTAGGAATACACTGCCCAACAACAGCATTTTGTATGAGTGCTGCGCCCTCCTCACCACCGCTGGGCGCGGAACCCCAGGATTGGCCCCAAGCTGCCCGCCTTCATCACCCCAGAGGCGCTGCAGGTGCGGCCGCTTGCCCCTGCAGCCCTCCCTGCCTCCCTGCCCAAGTCCTGGAAACTGCATCGTATGTCCATTCAGCTTGTGCGGGCATATCCTGGCGACAGCTGGTGCTTCCAACGCCGCACCCCTGGGAGGTTCCGCCAGCAGCACCGAGGCTGTGCTGCTCTGTGCACCTGAAACGCCTTTTCTTAACAGGTGCTGCGGCCTGCCGGGGGTTTGAGTGGACCCGCTCGCCGCAACAGCTGTCGATAATTAATGCCTCTGTGCTGCCATGCGTACACCCACAGATCGTGGCGGAGAAGTTCAACATCATGCCCGCGTCGCTGGCGGGCCCCGAGGAGGTGCGCGGCGCGTGCAGCAGGAGGGATCGGGCAGAGCTCTGCCCGCACAGCCTCGAGGCTGTGCAGCTGCCTGCGTTGCAGGCACTAACCAGCACACCAGCCTGGAGTGGTGGGTCCGGAGCAGCACGCGGGTGCAAGGGGCGGCGCTCCGGCAATCGTGGTACCTGTGCTTGCCTCGGCTCAGTAGCCCTGCGCTAACCTGCGCTTCACAACCCTTTTGCACTCCCAACCCGGTTCATCAGGACCTGAAGAAGATGATGGCCAACAAGTGATCTGGCGCCCTCGGCCCCCGCAAGCCAGCCCCCCCTTCCTTAATTTACGCGGGCGTCACAGCCTGCGTAGTCTCTCTCTCTCTCTCTCTCTCTCTCTCTCTCTCTCTCTCTCTCTCTCTCTCGCAGTCAACTCTTAGTCTGCGCTATTTTTTGTTGGCGCTCTCAGCCAAGCATGCAGGGTGCTTGTATTGTTGGTCATCGTGTGGCAGGAGCAGTTACTGCAGCAGTCCACATGCGTGGGGTCCCTGGTGTCACGCTTGATGATGCAAATCGTGAGACCCAGCATGGACAGCGGACCACGAGACGCAGCGTGAACAGCCGCAGACACGAGAAAAGCAAAAACACAGCCGTCGACGAGAAGGAAAGGGATGAAACGCACCCCTTCTGTGACAAAAAAAGGGCGGATGGGGGGTGACGCTTGCGTGGATGGAAAAAGGCCCTGCTGCGCCATGCTGACGCAGGCATGGCGGCAAGATGCTGCAAGCATTGAGACAGTACTCATCATTGCAGAGTCACTGCGCAGTTGTTGTTGTTGATTGCTGCGTTATCCCAGGGGGGGCCGCAACATGCCGAACACAGATGTTGATTGGTGTCATACAGCAGAAGACGTTCAAAGAATGAAATGGTGATGTCAGGACATTCTACCCATATGAAACGGGGGGCCGGCGGGTAGTGACTACGGGTGATGATGCGAAATCTCTGTTGATGCCTGAAATGTTAATGGCAGGACAGGGCTTGGACTATGACAGAGCATTGCGGCTCCTCACACGTCCATGTCAATGTGGCGCTCCTGCATGAGAGGGGGGAAGGTGGAGACATTGCGAGGTGAGGCGACATGCTGCGGACGGTGTGAGCTGGCTTACAGCGCGCGACAGCCATATCCGTGCAGCTGCCCAAGAACGCAAAATATTGACCGCTGCAAGGCCACGCAAAGGCCTGCTCACCTTGCGCCCCGCCTTGGGCGTCGCGAGCGCCTTCAGCTCCACCAGCTGCTTCTGAAGGCCGTCCACTATCCTCTGTTGGGGGTTCCATCACGTTGTAGGTGTGAAGCGCATCAGCAAAAAGTTCAAGCAAATAGACTGATGAGGTCGCCCGGCCCAATTCTTGGTGCAACATATCCTAGGTGCGCAGGGCGGTGCGCCACGTTTCTGCGGCACCTTGCTTACCTGCTTCTTCTCCAGCTCGACATTCTTGTAACGAATGACTTGCTTTAGTTTGTCGATGCATTTGCTCGCCGCCGCGGCCGGCGTCTGTAGCGATTGGTGGTCATGCGGGCGCGTTGATTGCGTGAACATGGGTGCGGTGATGCATCCCAAATCGCCACTGGTGCTGGATAAAGCCTATCAATATGCAAGGCTCAGCATGACAGGCAAAACTGGTGAGAGGCTGCCACCCTGTGGGCGCCGTGAGCCGCACGCTGCATCAGCAGGCTTGAGCGGGCGCGCACCTCCGCGGCCTTGGCCCCCTTGGGCATGTTGGGGATGATGTTGCCGCTGTTGGTGGTGGTGATGGCGGTGGTGATGGCGGTGGTGGCGCTGGCGGCGGTGGGGGTCGGCATCTTCTTCTTGGTCTTGCTGAGCTCGATGCGCAGCTGGTCGGCCACCGTCTGGATCAAAGCGAAGGGGGCAGGATCAGAGGCGGGCAGGGCAAGGGGCCATGTGGGGAGGCGCTGGTGAGGGGAAGGGGACAGGCGTGATATGTGGCAGTGAGCCCCCAAAGCAACCACCGGGCAAGCTGGACTGACGTTTGCGCACGCAAGGCGGGGCCACGGCTTGGCTGCGCAACAGCAACAGGTGACCAATGCCTGCCAGGCAGCACCTCGGACCTGCCCCGCCTGCGGAGTCCCCTGCAGCCACTCGGCGTTCCCAGCTGTGACGAGCAACCTCTGAAAGCGGACACTGCGTTTGCGGGCGCCCAGCCACACCTGCGCCTTCTCGCACTCGATCTTGAGCTTGGTCATGATGGATTCCCTGCGCTTGGCCTGGTTGGTCAGCTCCTCGATGAGCGTGTCCTGCGAGGCGCGCGCCGCCTCTTTCTCGGCGAGAATGGTCGACATCTTGGTGTAGTTCTCCTGCAGTGCATCGTACTCCTTGTTGAGGTTCACCTTCTGCTTCCTCACCTTGGCCAGGCGCTCCTGGGGGGGAGGTAGAAGTTGGCAGGTGGAGGGGTCCGGAAGGGGCCTTCTGGCGGCATACTGGGCGTGGGGCGTGAAGAGGTAGCGGTTGTCGGTGCAACTGGGCGCGGGGCCAGCAGGGGCAGCCACGCGACAGTGATGATGCGTGGCCAGCTGTGGC